GCTCCTTTTGCCCAGGACCTCAATGTGGTCCTGTCCACCATTAAACCATCTTTCCAAGCAGTTTCCATGTTTCCAGTGTCTGTCTTCCCACTTGGAACTGAACCCAAATGAACATTTCTTCCAACACAAGGAACTATCATTTTCCTTCAAGGTCAGGATAGCTAAAGAATGCATAAAGTACCTAGAGGTTTAATATACTGTATTTTATTAGCTTTTCCTGTTTTTACTGATCAAGATTTCAGGCAAGAAAAATTTGAGGAATGTAGAGTGCTTCCTGCCAAGCTGGGTTGGTAATCTTTTTTTCTCTCTCTCCTCAAAACACTTTTTTGGCTGTACTTTGGTAAAGAAAATAATTTTTATTTGCACCCAGCTTAAATTGTAATAGCTCTCCATAACTTCCTTTGTTCTATTGTAAACACTCAACTACAATTAAGTCTTTTGTTGTAAGAGACCTATTGAGCAATATCTCTTGATGTGTACTCCAGGTACAGTATGGTCATATTGTGGATTTATAATGTATTGCAAGTTCTTTCAGTTTATTCTATTCCTAATAATTTTTAGCATTTGTCTTACAAGAATCATACACAGTGTTTCTCCACCCTAGCAACTTTTAACATATGTGAACTTCAACTCCCACAGTTCTGAGAGTTGAAGTTCACAGATCTTCCTAGTTGACAAAGGTTGAGAAACACTGCATTAAAGGAACATTTAACCTCCAATTTTATCCAATATCCTTTCCTGATTGCTCATAACCAGCCAAGATGCCATTTATTTAAATTTATATGAGAAACATGAGTTTTATTGTTAATACTTTCTGGTTTCCCTTTACCATTTTAAGGTTCATTTATCCAGTCTGGAGAAGATTTTTTTTTTTGCTTTTATTATTTTGAAAAGACGTTCATAAAGTCTGTAAAGACTTGGTGGTTCTGTTGAATTCTGGGGAAAGGTTGTTTTTCTCCACTATTAAACTAGGGTACAACGTCCCTGTCCTTGAGCTGGCAAAAAAAAAGGTATTAGTATGAAGTGACTGGCTTCCATGCTTAAAACTGTGGCTGCCATCCCCATGGTCACATGATCAAAATTTGGATCATGTAGTTACCAAAGCGGTTGCAGCCTTCCCAATCATGTGATCACCATTTGTAACCTTCCCAGTTGGCTTTTGACAAACAAAGTCAGTGGGAGAAGCCAGATTCGCTAAACAACTGCACAATTCACGACTGCAGTGATTTGCTTAACAACTGGCAAAAAAGGTCATAAAATGAGGTGCAGCTTTCTTAACAGCTGCCTGGCTTAGCAATGGAAATTTTGGTTGTTACCTGTAGTTGTAAGTCAAGGACTCCCTGTACTTTTGGATGCTGTTGTGCTAAGAGGGAAAGAGTGCTTTAAGAGCAGCTAAGAATACCTTAAACCTGTCTTAGGTGTGCTATGGATAAGGAGGTGAAGATGGCGTCACCAGACACAAGATGTCAGGGAAAATTTGTGCAATGCATAGTTAGTTGTTAGTGAGGAATAACTCATCCTATCTCATGGTTTGTGAAGTTTGCTTAGGACTTTTTTATTTCATTATATTTTCCAGAATGTACCTGTAGTGGTCTTTACGTCGACCAGCCTACAATATGCCATTGCTTCCATTCAATTTCTCTTCCCATATATTTGATGGAGAATTTTGAAAGCTCATTACAAAGTCCTAAGTTTTGAAAATCGGAATACATCTTTAAGAATTTGCACTCAAACCTGTGCAGCTTTTTTTCTTCATTTTAGTAGTGATGATTGAGATGCTATGGTCAGTACATTCCCACCATGCATTTAACCAGGTCTACTAAAGACCTGATGGCTGCATTTGGACATTAAGCTAATTTTAACCTTGGTTTGCTCTTTCACAACTTGGTGCCTTTTGCAAACCCATCTTACTTGATAGTTCATTGTAATAATCCATAAACCTGTGTTGGAAGAAATATCCATCTAGTTCAATTCCAAACCAAGAGAAAGGCACCGGAGACAAAATGGAGGCTGGAGGCTGTTGATGAAGCAGAACCATCAAGCACATGTGATTCTGGGCAGCTGACCACATGGAGTTGAGAAGGGAGGGGGTATTTATACTTTCTCTTGGATTTTGCACTTGAACCTGTATTCTGTTGGCTGTTGTCAGACTCCCATGGAGCCATGTACAAATCCTAGGAATTTGTCTGAGGTAAATTTGATTGAAGTTTGAACTGCTGGGGGTGGTGCAACTGAGATGATGCAGTGAAGGGGCTTTGGGCAATTCCTATTGTGGCTGAGGGTTAATTGAGGGTATTTGCTTATGAATAGAGCTAGCTATCTCTTTATCTCTTAAGTGCTGACACCTGCTGAGGGCTATTAAGAAAAGTGGGGTCTGCTTTCCAAGAGTGTTTCTCCATTTCTCATCTAGGGAAATATAATATTCTGCCTTTTTAATATTTCTAAAAATATTTCATTCTTCTAGGAAAGGGATGGGTGCTAACTTTCTACACCCGGAAGAAAAAGGGTTAATTCAGTAACGAGTAGAGTAGAGTAGAGTAGAGTAGAATTCTTTATTGGCCAAGTGTGATTGGACACAGAAGGAATTTGTCTTGGTGCAAATGCTCTTGGTGTACATAAAAGAAAAGATACATTCGTCAAGAGTCGAGAATCATCAGGTACGACACTTAATGATAGTCATAGGGTACAATAAGCAATCAAATCAAACCAAGTTAAGCAAGTTGGCAAACACAGTCTCTGAAAGGATACTGAAGAAAAGATACATCCTGCTGCTTCATCTCTGGTTTTCAATATATTAACTGAGCTAGATGATAAGCTCTGCAAGGTTTAAGAGGGAAAGTGCCTGGAACAAGAAAAAAACAGGTCATAACTTAAAGAATGGGCAGGAAATATTTATTTATTGGGGTACACCTTCACTATAGATAGACCTCACTTAAAGATGCTAATTCGGGATGGAAAGTCCATTGTTAAGTGACATTGTCATAAGTCAAAACATGTAACTGCTCCACTTAGTGATGGCAGTTGCTATCATTAAGCGAGGATTGCATGCAGTGGTGGAATTCTTTTTTTTACTACCGGTTCTGTGGGCGTGGCTTGGTGGGCCTAGCAGGGGAACGATACTGTAAAATCTGCAGTCGGAGGTGATATTTGCCAGTTCTGAGTCTCTGAACTACTCAAAAGTTCTGCTACTGCTTTTCCAGAACTGGTCAGAACCTGCTGAATAGCACCTCTGACTGCATGGGTTTTCAAGTGTAGGCCTCATGAGAAAATAAGCATGTGTACTCAATTGTAGCTACCACTCATTCAGTGTAGAACAAGTGTCATTAAACAAGGACCACCTCCTTTATTGCTTTGTTGATTTGAAGGGGAGTATTGCTGGGAATGCCTCTTTCTTCGTACCCACATACCTCTCTTTTTGCCTCTATATGCCTCCTCTTTTCACTCCTGTGCAAAGTACAATATAGTTATTTATTTATTATAACTGCTCATCTCACAGGCAAGACACTATATTCTTTGTATCTGTTAGTTATAGCTCCACTCTCTTTAGCTTGCTTTCTTGTGAATTATTTAACAAGTCAGACACACAGTATGGTTTAATTAAAGCCAGTATTTTTCTCCCATTTGTCTTTTTCTTGCTTCGTTTGGTTGCCATCCTGAAACCAAAAAAACTCTTGCTGCTCTGCAGTGCCTTGGTTGGTATTTCAAAATGTTACAGTTGCTTTTAAGGCCATGGAAATTAGAAGACCACAAGGGGAAGATTGTGTGCCTTCAAGAGGCAACCTTTCATTCCACTTGTCAATTCATATATTGTGCAGGTAACGGCAGGCGTGAGCTATTTCAGGCCTATATTCAACAGGACTCAAAGGTAATGCTCACAAAGCTTTGTTGCTGTGCTAGAGCAGTGACAGTAGTAGGGTTCAGGCTTCATCCCCGAATGCGGCCCCTGGGATGCTTAGATCTGGCCGGTGGGATCTCTTGGAAACAGTGAAAGACCAGCCTACGATGCCTCTGCAGCCCTCCCGGGCTCCGTTTTCCCTGACAGAGGGTTGCAGGAGGTCACTGCATCTGGAAACAGAGTTTGGGAGCCCGTTTTTACTGGCAGAGCACTCGGGCCACCAAAAGCGCCCCAGACATAAGTGATGTCAAACTGACCATGCCCACCCTAGCCACATCCACCCTGGCCCCCTGAGGTCAAACACAACCCTGATGCGGGCCTCAGTGAAATCAAGTTTGACACCCCTAATTTAAGGTATTCTGTCTGAAGACACTTCCCCAACTTCATCCAATAAAGAACTAGAGCAAATAAATAACAGATGCAAATGTGTTTACTGTCAACATCGTTCTAAGCTAAAATTAACTCTTCACTGGTGATACTTGTTTCAGAGACTTATTGCAGCATCCAAGGAAATTTTCTTTTTGCATAATACCTGCTTTTTATTTATTTCTTATATGACTAGCTCATGAGTGGGTTTCATACATTTCCTAAATTAGTTTGCATCTTTGCACCTCAGCTCAGCTGCAGGATAAAGTAAGTCAAGTGTCAAACGTGGCACTAAAAACCTGAGGTTGAAGCCATACATTGAGAAGTGAAGCAGTATTTTGTTTACCAGTGCTTGTATGAGAAAAATGGGGGTTAATATTGTACAATCCAAATCAATGGCAGGTTTAATACCTTGAAGGAAAATCAGTAAAACATGCAGCAAATTCAGAAAAGCTCATGTCATAAGCCTTAGTGAGCACTTGTCAGGTACAAGAGGTTACCTAAAGTTGTAAATAGGAATTTTGTTATGGAGACTTGACTTTAATGTTGAGGGTTTTTTTACCAACTTTTAGTAGGGCGAGTGACCATAAAGGTCAGACAGCTTGTTAGATCATCCCAACCAAAGTACTTCATTTGAATGAAGAGAGGGGAGTGATGTATCTTTCTGTTGTTACCTGTTCATTGCATCTATTCTAATTTGTGTATGTGTGTGATTTTGCTTTTTGTTTTCCCTGGGCAGACCTTACTCTCTGAATTAGGTGCTTGACTGAAGCTGATAGAGAATGGAAACATTTCCTTGGCAATGTCTCTGGGAAGACTCCTCCGTCGTGCCTCTTCCAAAGCATCTGATCTCCTGACCTTAAATGCCAGCAGCAGCTGTGGTGGTTCATCTTCCATCTTGGATGGAGAGATTATCTATTCCAAGAACAATGTTTGTGTCCACCCCCCTGAGATGCTGCAAGGTGTTGTGGAACATCATCCAGGTGAGGATGGCTAGCAAACTTCAACAAGTCTCTTTAGGACTGTGTGTGTAGCAGAATCTCTGAAGCCCTTTTCAGGCATCTAATGCTTATAGAGGGAACTGAGGCATGCACTTCAGCCCTACCCTGCTCCTCTCTTATCTCCCTTTGTTATCAGCAATATTCAAGACTGGTGTTAATGTATCACACTAGATATGTTGATGTTCTCTTCGGGATTGGAGTACTGCACCGAGGTCAGTAGGGTTGCGACTCCTTTTCAAGCCTTCCCTGTCAGCATGGACTGTTAGGAATGAAGTGTAACATCCCTTCCCTCCGTACTTACTTAAAATTCTTGAAGCTTTAGCTATTTCCTTAAGTTTCCCTTACTACCTTTTTCACCTCTCACCCTGTATACCTTCAGCTGGTATCTCCTTTGTTTATGGATCCAGGGGAAGTGGCTAAATCTTGCCAGCAAGATAGTGTGTCTCAGCTAATCCTTGTCTGAGTTTACAGTGTAAAATATTTCCTTCCCTTGGGTTTTTTTTAGCTTGAGGATGAGGTGGCATGTGCTATATTAGAACTTCTAAAATGGGAACCTCGTTTTAGGATTAAAGTATATTAAGTAGATCCAGAATTAGATTTTGAAATGTTTGTTTTGCTTTTATAAGCTTTAACACAGAGAAAAATCTTCTCAGCCAGCAAGCAGCATTATGTGATTTTGCAAATATCAGAAAAATACAAATGAATTTTAAATTTATTTTGACTCATTTATATACCTAAGAACCAACCATGTCCTTTACAGAGGGACTCTGGATGGTGTACAATAAAATTTATGCCTGCATTGCACTGTTCACTTTGCAATATTATGCAAACGGAAGGGGGGGGAAAGGCATTTTTTATAATTAAAAACATAATTTAAAATTAATTAAATGTTTTTAATTGAATAAGTAAAAAAATAATGTGGGATTTGAACTCACAGTCTCTTGCATTCTAACCCAGTGCATGTGTGACGTTTAGTATTCACCCCATTTGTTTCCATGTCAGTGGCTGCCTTTTTTAGCAGGCATATAAATTCAAAGCATGATGATTATTCCTATTGCATATAGTTTAGTGGCGCTATCCCTATGATACAGATCAGCAGCAATAGAAGCATCTACTCTAAGGTCTAATTTCATTTATGAAAAGTCTTGTATTAGTAAAATATTAGTGTTTTATATTGGTTGTGCATCACTTGTGCCTAGTTTTGTGTAGAAAGTAGGTAGAATTTGAAACGAATTCACATTTTTCATGTATCCCTTTGAATATGACATACAAGTAGTTCACAAGTTAGTTGAGTTTAGTGACTGTTAGAACTGAAGGGACTTAAGAATTGTCCTCAGAGTACTTATTTATTTATTTGATTGATTTATTGATTTCTGTAGCCACCCATTCTCAACAAAGTTCTGGCTGCTGCAATGCTCCTTACAGTCATGTGAACAGATTTAGGTGCTTGGCAACCAGCTCACACTTCCGGCCAGTCACATGATCACTATTACTGCTATTACTCACACTTCCGGCCAGTCACATGATCACTATTACTGCTAGCTCCTGCCAGCTTCATAGAAACAAAATTAATGGAAAAGCCAGCACAGAAGGTTGCAAATCATTAGATAAGTCTTCTCCCAGCTCCGTTGTCCTGACTGTGCACATACACACTCCATATCCTCTTTTCTTGGCCTCCCTGTTGTTCTTGCACACATGAACCCCTCCCATCTTTCCCCAGCTTCTCTGCATCCACACACATGCACTTCACACTTGCACTTCACACACATGCATTTCACACTTTCTTTTCTCAGTTTCCCTCTGCTTGCACAGACACATATTGTGACCTTTTCCCCTGTTCTCCCTGCACTTGCACACACTTATGTACCCCACGTTCTTTTTCCCCAGGCCTCCCTGTGCTCACACACATTCATGTATGCACCCAGTGCCTTCTTTCCCAGCCTTCCTGGGTTCATGGTGCAGCGCATTGTCCTACAACTTGCGCATAATTTGTTCCAGACCATCCAGGGCCTCCCTCTTTCATGATAGCCTCCCCTCCCATGACAGCCCTCTGTGCTCCTGACTGGGGGACACCCTCCATTTCCTGCTTAATGACCTTGGGACAACTTGGACTGCCTGGATTCTTTTTGCTCAGTGATACGGTCACTTGATGTTGCATTTTACGAGCGTTTTACTTAGCAATAAGTAAAATAGTTTGAGGACTGTATTTTTTTTAAGATTTTGATTACCTTTATAGCACTTGGCTTTGCTTCAAAGCAAATGCAAGCAGCTTTTTGTGTTCAGAGGCCATTCTCTATTATTATTAATCAGTTTCTGAGTGTTGCTGGACAGGACAACCTCATTCACAGAAGCCAACATTTTGGCCTTCTTTGGCCTAAGTCACTAAAAAGTACGCAAGTGATGAAACTTGCATTGCAAATCAGACTGCCTTTGACAGCCCAACAAGGAAGACCAGACCAAGAAACCAATGATTATATAGGTCAATAATTATATACTTATATAGGTCTTTTATTGTAATAGCTCTAGTTAACAGAAGTTTGAAATGTGCTTCTCCTCCCTCCCTTTCTGTGAATTAAGCTTGTTTTCTCGAGTTATTTCCTTGGCCTGGGCTCAAAACCGGCTTATCTGACCATTGCCTTGGTAGCAGGTCTCTCTACTGGCCATTCTCTGCACTGTCTATAGACTTCTATATCCTTGCAAATGAAATGATATAAATATAAAGGGGCAAAGGTTGAGTCATGACATCAGAGTGCACATTTCACTTTGAAGTCATTGTGGTTAAGTTTGGATAGTGTTGGGACAGACTGAATTTTAAGAAAAAACATTAGGGTGTATGGCAGCATATTAGATTTTTATTTTAGTTCTTACTTTCTTTTTTAAAAAAAACTCTCAAAAAGAATATTACGGGTAGTCGACTTATAACCACAATTGAGCCCAAACTTTCTGCTGCTAAGCAAGATATTTGTTAAGTGAGTTTTGTCCCATTTTACAACCTTCCTTGCCATAGTTGGTAAGTGAATCACTGCAGTTGTTAAGTTAGTAACATGGTTGTTAAGTGAATCTGGCTTCCCCATTGACTTTGCATATCAGAAAGTCACAAAAGGTGATCACATAATCTTGGGACATTACTTAAATATGAGCCAGTTACCAAACATCTAAATTTTGATCATGTGACCATGGGGATGCTGCAGTGGTCATAAGTGTGAAGAATGGTCATAGTTCACTTTTTTCAGTGCTGTTGTAACTTTGAATGGGCACAAACAAATGGCTGTAAGTCAAGGATTATCTGTCTTTATTAGAAAGAAGGCTTAAAGATATTATGTATATTTCAGTAAGAAGAATTGGAAGCAAGAAATTGTTTTATATTGCCAAGAGATACCCTGTGGATTTCAAGGAAAAGACTCTTCTCTACCTCTGTGGAGCAAGACGTCGACCCTCAAAATAAGAAAGAGTCAGTCTTTAGAAATGGAACAGCTCGGAAATGGGGTGAAACAGCTCCATCGCAGCAATTAGAACAGCTTGAGAAAGCACACAGTGTCATCCTTATTCCCAACAATATTAGCTATTTCATTGATTTTAACAAGATTGCTGTGATTTTTCATCTTATAGAAGAAACACATTACTTGTTTTTTACAGGGCTAATTTTCAACTAATGAACGGAAGGGAAAAAAATTCAATAAAAGTTCTAGTCACACAGAGATAAGATAGAGAGAAGTTGTGAATTAATACATGGTATTTGCATCCTAAATACCTAGGTTGCACTTGATCGCAAAGGAGTTGCTCAAAGTAGCCAACAGCTTAAGGAAAAAACATTAAGATCAGTAGAATCGTGTGTACAACAATTTAAAGCAGCGGGAGAAACAACAGTTGTTCTGTGTTTATTTGGATAATAAGAAACATATCATGAGGAATCTGTCAGTCAAAATATTGATGTAGGACATCTTCAGGGATGCTCTTATATGAGGAGGGAAAACTTGTAGCCAGTCACTTGCTAGAAAGGAAAGGAATAGCCGTGTTTGCACATCATGTGAAGTCCAGAAAGCTGAGGGTTGACTGTAAGTCTAAGTCCCTGTCTTCTTTTGCAGGCTACTTGTGCTTGTACATGGAGAAGGATGAGCTGCTTGGAACCACGCTTATCCTGGCCTGGGTCCCCAACTCCCGTATTCAGAGGCAGGATGAAGAGGCTCTCCGTTACATCACGCCCGAGAGCTCCCCTGTCCGCAAGGCTCCCCGCAAGCGCAACCGACACACTCAGGGTTTTGGCATCCCTATGCAGGCTTCTTCTGTTGAACAGAAGCAAGCTGAGACCCCAAAAGATGAGGAGGACATTTTGACTGTGTCACAGCTGGTGAGGGATGTGGCTCATGTCAGCCCCCCTTCGGAAGAAGGGGACAAATTGTCCCACAGCTGCTCGGCCACATGCAACATCCACAGCTCCACTCAGCCTGTTCACAGTGACTCAGGAATTTTATCGACAATCAGTTCTCAGGATGAACAGAACCGATTAGAGGAGTCCGTAGAGGAAGGGCTGGAGGGCCATTTGGAGACAGGAGAAGACGAAGGCTCTTTGGAGTTGTCCGCCGATGATGTTAGCAAAGATAGCACGTTTGACTCGGATTCAGATGCCTTCTCTTCTCCATTCTGCCTCTCACCCATAAGCGAAGCACTTGTGGAAAATGTTAGCTCTATGTTCCTGGTTAATGAAAACCGGTGAGTTGACATTCATGTGCTACTCAAACAGAGCCCAATTCAAAACAAAATGGGTAAGCCCCACAAATGTAAGTCACCCGATTCTAGAATCATTTGCTCTGTGTTACATGCAGAGAGGTATCAACAGTGGCTTTCATTAGAGCAAGTACAGCATGCTTACCCAGATGTAAATTCTGTTGAGCTCATTGAGATTTACCTCATAAAAGGATTATAAGATTGCCATGGAAATCTGTCTTAAGAATTCTACAGAGAGATCAAAGGACTGAATCAACTTGTCATTCAACTTAGTGATTCCTTTAATGCAGTAGACAGAAGATCAAATACTGTCAGGGGTGCTGTCAACTTACTTGTTTTGTGATGTCTGTTTCAATGAAAATACAATTCCAGACATTGTCTGAAGGTGCTCTGCTTACTTACTACAACAATTATTATTTAAATATGTATTTCATATATTTTCATAGCAAATATACTTAATTGATTAAAAAAAAAGTTTATTTAGAAGAGCTAGAAGACCTTGCTTTTCGCCCAAAACTTTGGCAAGGGAAAGTGAAACTTTTTTGCTTCAGCATATTTGCCATCTTTTATCTATCTTTTATGTTTGGTGATTTTATTGGAATTTCTATGATTTTTGTGAATCACCCAGAACTGTTGATGTTCAGTGGCATACAGATTTAATAAATTATTATTGTGTACATAGAAATATGAATTTGCAGTTAGTTTTGGCCTTCATATGCATCGTCATTCCCAAGAACCTAGAATGTAGTATCAGTGTAGTATATGCATGAATCTTTGCAGTGTGGTCTTTTGTAATTGACAGAATTTTCATCAACTCACATCAATTTCATTTAAGTGCTGTCCAAGATCTTATTATGTGCCGATTACAACTGAGACCATCAGCCTGGTTTTTGCCATAATCTTTCATTTCAATTTTCAGGTCTTGATATTTTCTGATCTCCTCCAAATCTTTATCTTCTGCTCTATGTCCTGATATTGCCACATCAATTATCCATACTTCCTTCTTTTCGATCATGATTAAATCTGGTGCGTTATAAACCAAGACCTTAAGTTTGGAAATTTAACCTATTTATTTTCAGCTATTTTTTTTCAACTCTATGTTCCCACCAATTTTTCATTATTGCCACATGATAATTTTACAGATGTTCCAGTGAAATATTTTGATGACTGTTATGTCATTGTTTATACATAGTTTATGTGATATTCTTGTATGAGCTAAGCTAAGATCCACTGTTTCTTCCGCCTGTTTGCATAATCTGCATTTTAAATCATTTGATGATTTTTCAATTCTGGCTCTGATTGTATTAAATTGAATAACTTGCTCTTGAGCAGCCAAAACCAAGCCTTCAATTTATTTTTCAATGTTCCAGTTGTTAGCTATTGCCAGGTTTTATCTTTATCCACCTTCTTCCTGATCTTTTGCAGAAATTCACCATGAACAGATAGTCCTCAATTTATGACTGATTTTTTAATTACTGTTCAGAAGTACAATGGCCTTGGAAAGGATGCTTTATGATCCATAAAGCATTTTAGGTATGTCGTAAAATGTTGAGCTACCCCACAACCACATGATTGCAATCTGGTTGCTTGACAACCTATATCAGGGGTCCCCAACCACCGGGCCCCAGACCGGTACCGGTCCGTGGATCATTTTGTCCCGGGCCGCCTACTTTGCTTGGGCGCCGCCATCTTGTTTCGACGGCGCTTGAGAAAGTGCTTCTGGGTGAGCTTGTCGGTCGTCAGTTGGATGGAAAGCGGCGTTTGGGTGCTGAAGGAATCCTCGCGCCTTAGTTTCGTCGAAGGGGGGGCAGCTTCGAACGAAGAGCCGTCCCGATGGCGGTGGAGTCTCGCGTTACTCAGGAGATTAAGAAAGAGCCCGAAAAGCCCATCGACCACGAGAAGGTACAAAGGAGGAGTTGAAGGTGGCAGGGAGAAGTGGGGGACGGCTGGCTGGCCGGTCGCTCGGCTCGCCTTGCCTTGGTCGTGCGTGCTGATGCCGGTACCGGTCCGTGGATCATTTTGTGATGCCAGTACCGGGCCGTGGTACAAAAAAGGTTGGGGACCACTGACCTATATGAACTTACAAACAGTTGCCAAGCACCCCTTTGATATCACGATGTTCCCCATAAAGTCATGGAGAAACCAGTAGAGAAAGTTGCAAGCTGCTGCCACCTGCCATAGAGCTGAGATTCCCTCCTGGCAGGCCCTTCTTGGAGAATGAAATGGTCCCTGTCAGGAGGGAATCTCAGCTGTGTGTGGAGCTGTGATTTGTCATCCCCCAGCCCCACAAGAAACCAAAACAGCTGCCTCCAGAGGAAAGGGGGACTTCTCCATCAGGCTGCAGAAAGGAAGCTTGGATGAGCCGCGCTTCTGCAGCTCCTGACACCTGGAGAGGACAGGAACTCCGAAGGGTTTCAGATTCTGAAGATCCCAGCTCTCTGTTCCCGCGGCCTGCCAGAGTAGTTCTCTTCCCCACACCGAGGGGAGACAAACTCCTCTGGCAGCTGCAGAAAGGAAGCTCAAATCTTCATGATCCAAGCTTCATTGCACTAGTCCACTGTAGGAGTTCCCTGCTGTGCATGGAGCTGAGGGGAAATCCTAAGGTGGGCTGCACAATATGAAGCTTGGACCCTTAAGATTGGAGGTTTGTTTCTGTACCCAGCCATAGAAGGTCCCTTGTGAAGAAGTTCCTTATGTGGATACATTTCTTACTAATCACATTTTTAACTTGTCTATGCTTGATATTATCCAACTATAAAATGCTCAAATACGCATAGGCTTCATCCTAATGGTTTGGCCATGTGGCATTTCAATTCTATTATTGTTCATGATTTTACCCAGTTTATTCCTAGTGTAGCATATTTCTCTAGGCAAAATTCCATCTCTATACCTCTGCTAAAAGTCCTTAGGATATTTGTCAATGACTGGATTTCTGATTTTCCATAAAGCTTCAGTGTATCCATACAGTATATGCCAATGTGAGATTCTATTACCATTTTTTTTTTTTGCTGTTTGGTAGCCCAGATTTGTTTTCTTTAAAATCATTGAAAGTGGGAACATAGTAATGACTGTGCTGATAATGAGTAACCCTGGAAGATGCCTCTCCTAATGTTGAAAAGCCCACATTTTTCGTTTTCAACCCGCAAATTCGTCCTCCACTGCTTCATTATTTTTCTATAACTATTCTAATGTTTTTACTAATACTAGTTGTCTCCAGATATTTGGTGGTCTAACTATGTGGTAATGAATAAAATGCCTTTTTATAAGCAAACCAGACTATATGTAAATGGGTTTTTTGCCTTTTAACAATTCTCCAAAACCATTTTGTCAATCAGAAAGTGATATTTTATTCCGCTGCTCTTCCTTTTATTTCCTTCTGTTCCACTAGAAGGATGTTCTTTTTTCTCTCTAAATAATCTTGAATGCTATTTACTGTAAATAATACCAGTACAGCAGTAATATTACTTGCTATTATACCTTTGAGTAAAGTAAACCTGGGAGGTTAGCATGTTATTGGCCTAGAGTTTCCTGTTGTTGTCCCTTTCATTGGGTCTTAAGTTATTCTGGTTTATTGCACAGTTAGCCAGATATTTAGACTGGATTTTGCATTTTCATCCACCTACTGAATCCTTCCCAAGGACCTGGGATTAAGCAGATGTCGCTGTTTGATGGCGTTAAGGGCATGGTTGCAGAATCTAAGCTGACTTTTGCAGTTGACTAATGGTGATTTTGCTAACGGTGATAATATTCAAATGATGCTCCAGTTGTTTGGGGATTGTACCCAAAGCATCTATTGGCACTGTCTTTGCTTTCTTTTGTCACACTTGTTCTACTTCTATTTGCAGATCTTTATATTTTGTGATTTCCCCCCCCAGTGCTTTCTCTTTCTATTCTGCTGTCTTCAGGTATTGCTATGTCCACTATCCAGGCATTTTTGTCTTCGTTATCAACAAATTGTTAAGTCTGGAGTGTATGGGACAGGTGCTTGTCTGTTGAATTTGAAAGTCCCAGAGCATTTTAGCTTCTTCATTTTCCATTACTTTCGATATTTTATGGTCCTCCCATTATTATTATTAGCTTCTATATGCTGTCTGGATTCCTTTGTGACTATAAGCAACTATTATTTCAGGTTGGAGAAATTTCTGTTCTATGGTCCAACCTAACTTTTATGAATAAAATATAACCACTATAGTTCATCGCCCTGCATATATTTTTATGATTCATTTTGCTGTTACCTGCGTGACTTTAAAAAGAGTTGTATGACTTTGGCTCACGGAGCATTTCGCCTACTCTGCAGGCCTTCTTGTTTCTTCCCTTTGTGTTGCATTTTGTAACTTCTTGTCTAAGCAAGAATTTTGAAGATTGTTTTTATTTACACACTCTTCCGAACTATTTTGGTTGCTTAAATACTACCCAACCATGTAGTCTAGACAGCCAGGGTTAATAAAAATGACTTGGCTGATTTCTCTCTGCTTTCCTCCAGAGCTACAATGCCGTGGCTTGGCATATTATTGTTTCAATGCTGTGATCTCCTTCTAATACAATTTGACTGGGGTGAACTGAGCATCTGCTGTTCTAGGGTGAAGATGTATATTTTATCTGTAGAATGTGACTGAAGCCACAATGCTCCAATTTAGTGCTGGGTCATACATTTGCCTGCTTGAGAGTTTATTCACGTTCGGTGTAAGAGGCGAGTGCCCTCATGCGGCCTACCAGTTATATTGCAAAATGGCTAATTGGAAATGGAGTTTTTGATGCAGGTTATAGTTTTCCCTCCCAAATCACTTGCTCTAAGACCTTCTTGACATTTATTTGGCAGCAGACTGTCTTGTTTTATATAATAATAGCCTTTGAAAGGCCAAGGCAGAATACAAAACCTGCTTATTTGAAAAGAATGAAAATCCATGTTAAGCCAAGAATGTAGCTGATTAACAGTCCATAAAGAGGATCCCCACAATCTTAGACTATAACCTACATTAGGTGTG